TGAACTTCCCAAAGATATGCTTTCACCCAAGCCTTATTATCTTTCATAGTTTCATTTGTCTTTTATGTCTTTATTTAAGCTTCCAGCTGGACTCATCTTGTGGCAGTCTTCATGAATTAGGAATGAACCTCTTAGAATCTGAGCTACATTACAAGCTTATTTGGTGGCTGAATAGGGACAGTGATATTGATGATGTCACTTTCTTTTACGAACCTCCTGCTGTATTGGTCTTAACCTTCTACAGTTGTGTTTTGCTGCTATCTTCTGAGCAGAGGAATGACTACCCACTAGCTTCCTGGTTGAGATATTGAGCTGTGATTTACATCATTACCAGGATTCTCAAAAATCCTACCATATTTGGGTAATTATCATTATCCCATATAATGGGGCAGAATTAGTTAATAGAATAGTAGTTGGGAGAGTAGAATTAGGGACGTGTATCAGCAAAATCACTAGTTTGTTGAACATTACAGGTAGTAAAATTTCAATTTGGGGTCAGAGGTATAGAGTTTCTCCTTTTCTTACTCCCCTTTCTCTTCCTTTAATTTTTCATCTTTCTATCCTTGTTTTGTAGCTCTTTGGTGAACAACAATTTTGTTTTTGAAACTTTAGCTTTACATAGCTGTAAGGATTGTAAAGATGAGTTTCCTGTTTTAAGACCATTTATTCACCTCATTGCAAATGCAAAAAAAATAAATCAGACAGTACTAAACAATAATAAAGCACAGGACTTGCTGAGAAAGAAACTATCTGTCTGTCTATGTGTCATCTACCTATGTATATATCTATAATTCATTCTGCCCTTGAAGTTTTAGTGTTGCTTCCTTGCTACCTCAAATAAAATTCTCAGGAGGCATGTTTTCAAGTGTCATACCTGATTATTTTCTCTCTTTTACCTAACCAAAGTAAGGTCCAAGTAAAATAAAGACAATTTATAATTATAAAAATTATGGGCAGTTCAGAATTTCTTGTTTACTGGGTAACGTTTCAGTAGGTCATCTTATTTTTGCCTCTATGACTACTGTGAGGTATTAGGTAGTATGCATACTATATCATGGGTAAGGAGCTTAAGCTTACTTCAAGTCATTTTTGGGCTACCTAAGGAAGACTTCTTTTTTTTGTTTCTTATAATAAATTTTATTTAAATTAGAAACAATCTTATTTTACATATCAATACCAGTTCCTTCTCCCTCCCATCCTCCCATGCCCTCCACGGACTCCCCCATCCCATCATCCATCCATTCTCCAGGGAAGACTTCTTAATAGCAAATTCTTAGAGGAAAAAGAACATGAAATGAATTTCCTATTTCTGATATAAGAAACAGCTCATTAATACCTAGAATGATTAAAATTCTCTGGACAATTGAGCTGTCTTTGTTTTATTCAGATTTATATATATTTCACTTTAAAGACAATAATTCATACCCGCCATTCCTCAGAGCACATTCTAGGGTGATTCCTCACTAAAGCCACTTAAGAAGATCTTTTTAATCTTAAGAAAAATCAAACTTCAATTAAAAATTCCCTGCACTGTTTCATAAGGAAAACATTATATGCAAAATTATATTAAATCCTGTTTTACACAGTCATAATATGTAGGTATAATTATACAAATATAACTACAGGTGTTCAGTAACCACCGTGCCCACAGCATGTTATTTGAGGATTCTGAAGCAAGAGGTATTTATTGGGCTGTCCAAGGTCACAGTCTGAAAATAAATTTGGATCAAATTGGAAGCATCAAAGTTTACATAAAAATTTTGTGAAAAATATGTAGGAATTGAATAGTGCAGGAAGAAGAAAACAACAAAGAAGCAATCTTATTATACCATAGCTCTGTCTGTTCCATTACAGAACATGAGTACAGCTGAGCTACAAAGACTTTTTGGGCTTAGGACGATTTTGACTAGTTTCTGGACTGAGGAAAGAAAAGATGTAAAAGGTACATAGAATGTACAGTGTCCCACAATGGATGGCCAGAATTCAAATTCAGATTTGCATTGCTCAACGTTATTGGGTTGTTATGCTGTACAGCATCACCTTTATGATAGTTCAGTCTCCTGTCACAGGTTGACAATTGACTGGAAGCACATGCATTTGTTCTGTCAGCCTCACACAAACTAGGATCACTTTGGAAAAGAATCTTAATGGGGAATTATCTGTATCAAGTTGCCCTACGGGCACGTATGTAGAGGATATTTTTAATTGTTGATTAATGCAGGAGGACAAAACCTATTATGGGTGATACTAGTCCTTATGAAGGTGGTCATATACAACATTAACAGGGAGAAAGTTTGCTGAGAGCAAGCAGGCAGTATGCACTTATTATGTGTCTGACTTGGACTTAAGATGTGATGTGATTTACATGAGTTCCGGACTTTATTTGTCCAAGGAAATAGATTGTACTTAGAATTTTAGGTGAAACAAATGTTTTGGTCCTCTTGGTTGCTTTTTGTCAAGGTATTTTAATCACAGCAACATAAATGAAACTAGAACACATGCTAAGCCTGTGCTCTACCACTGAGCATACCACCAGCCTCCAAATGCTTAGCTTTATAAAGTCACTAGTTGAGAAATACTCTATTTTGAGAGATTATCATATATTATAACCCATCACCCCAATCTACCCTTTTTTTAAAAAAATACATTTTATTCTTTCCACAATTTGGTTTTAGAACTGAAAAAGTTAGCAGGTGTGCCACTGAAAACAGTTAAATAACTCTTCTTTCTTGGCTTCCACTTAATTTAAACTGTTACACTATATGTTTAACTTTTTATTTTGCAATGCCTTCTAACCTCTTACCTTACAGAATGTGAAGTGTGTGTCAGCAAATACTTTGAACACTCTCCCACTGTATTTGTTCATGAAGAGAAGAGGTCAATTGTGGTGGCTTGCAAGAAAAGCATTAGCTCCATGTTACAGAAAAACAAAGTACATAAGTATGTGGGTGTAATTGGTAGGTTTATCTCTTCCAGCAACAAAAGTGGTCCTTGAGATTTCTGAAAATCTTTTAGTTATCTTGCTTAATTTGGGGGTTGATTTAATATTGGAATGAATGATGAGGCTATGAAACACTAAAGGATGAGGCAACCCCAGTAATCAACAAAAGACATAAGAAAGAGATTACAGTGAAGGTATCAATCTTCAATTAAAAGCAGCAAATACAAGAAAGGGATTTGCTCAACACATTGTATTCATATATCAGAGGGCTTTGTGGATATGTCAAGGAGGTAGGCAGAAAATGTGTCTTCTTGAAACTCCTATGAGACTAAAAAATATGGCTAAGAGTGAAACGTGTGGTTTTTGTAGAAGTGGCATGGTGTTGAACTCAGATTATTAATACCAGGGAAGAAAGACTCAATTGCTCCATGATCATTGTTACTCATAGCTGCAAAATATCTATGGTTAGATCACAAAAGCTGAGCATACTGGAGGCCTCAGTGAGAGGAAAATATTAATATCTGCTAGCAGTCAGATGAAATATATATAAAGGATTCTTCTGTGAAGCAATGGGGGGTATTCATTACAAGTGTTTGAGAACAAAGACCTACTGTGCTGCTTAAAGATTCATGAGGCAATAAATTATCTGGAGCCAATACTGAAAAGAAATGGGTACTTTGTTCCACTATACCAACTAATAATCACCTATCACTTCTTTAGATTGGTACCAAAGAAATAAAGACCCTGGGCATTCATGAAAATGTCCCAAATACTGTATAAAAAGCAAAATGTTAGGAAAATCAGAGTTGGTCTAAGGAGGCCATTCTTCAGTAGCCATGTCTACAGAAGAGACAGTCTCAAGGCTCATTTTGAACAGTTTTGATATAAAACTATTTTTCTAGATTTGTCACTAGGGCTCAGTATTAAAGACATAATGGATAAAGGTTGCAACTGTGTAAAACAAAACACATATTAATATTAAATATTAATATTAATTCTTTATATGTATTTCTATCTGTATTTGCAGTAGTGATACCTTTAAATTCACCTGATCTTACTTCACAGGGTAGAGGATTCAATACTTAGCTGCCCAATTTAACAAAAAGAAAGAACTAAAGTATGAAGAGCTATGATAAGACAAGGAGATGAGGCCATTTCAGTTATCCAATTCTATCTAGAGAATTCCTGAGCAAGAACTGTCTCAGCTGATAGTGAAAAATATGGAATGGACATTGGCTAACTATTGATAATACACACAGAAATTCAAGTTACATTATTTTTCATATAAGTTCCTAGAAAATGTAGTTTCTTGGTAGTTGTGGCAACATCTTATGGTTTATTAACCTAATAAAACTTATCTCACTTATTTGTTAGCTCTAAGCAACTTGGTTTAGAGTAACCATATAGTGACCAGTCAAGTTGTTCTACGCTGACTAAAAGATCTTCCATCTTATCTCTAATTTTCCTTCTACTGCACCTTTATTGAAATATAATTTATATACAATAAAGTTCTTCATTTTCAAAGCAAAACCTCAACCTTTTAGGTGTATTCATATAATCTATGGTGATCATAATTATCTGGTCCAAGAATTGCAAACATCACAAAGAGAAAGTGCATACCCATTTAACAGCATCTCTCTCCCATAAAATACTAGCCACATTTGTTTCCAGTAGATTTTCTTATATCTGTTCTATATACTCTTTATAATTGCCATCTTTCATATAGCATGATATAATCAAGGCTCATCTACTGTGTGAAATGGATAAATAGTTGGCTTCTATTTTTGAACAAATCTTATTCCACTTTGTAAATGGACAGTATTTGTATACACATTCTTCAGTAGAGTTGTTTCCACTTTTTATCTTTTATGATGCTTGTATGAAAATGTTGAGGTTTTTATATAAATTACTGCCCCTCTAGTGTGCAAATCTGAGGTTTGATTTCAAGATCAGTTGTCACCTTAATAATCAATCACCTTTCTGAGGTCCCAAAGACTCTTTTAAAAGTGATGTCAACATTTTATAGCTCCATCAGCTATACTTTGCTTTATTTTCATAGACTCCAGAGGAACTAGAGGATGTTTCTGACCTTGAAGAAGATCATGAGGTCCGCAGCCACACCGGCATTCAGACAGAAGGAAAAACTGACCGAGTAAGTTATCTATAGAGGAATATCTGTGGGCTCTGAGTGGTCCTTGCAAATCCAGAAAGCCTCTCATATACGAGATACATGGATGTGGGTCTGACTTTCTGAAGCACAGAGAGGAAGGACTCAGACTAAGGTTATAGCAAGCTAAGAAAATATTTTATTTTTTCAGAAATCACAGTGAGAGCTCTAGTGTCTGGTGAGGAATTATTCCAAACTGCTTTTGATCATGTATATATCATGTGAATATGAGAGTGAAATTCACGTGTGTTTGTTTAGTGTAGAGAATAGGATTCAGGATTTTGTAAACATACTCTGAAATAATATGAAACAAAATCTACTACTGAGTCAGTAATGGGAACTTTTCTTTTTGTCTTTAGTGCTTTCTTCTGTACCTCCCTCAGAAAGCGCTTGCATGTGCACACGTGGGCATACAACACACACACACACACACACACACACACATACACACACACGTTATTTTTCTCTAAGTTTTGAAGTAAGAATAGTCCATGTTTCTCTTTCATCTGAGTACATTGTTCTGAAAATAAATACCATTTTTATATAGCCAGAAAGTATTTGCTAATATATGGGGTGGAGACTCCTTCCTGAGATACTATTGAAGTTAATTCATGCCAGGAGCTGTCTAGAACATATAGTGTTTAGGTGTAATTTTCTTCAAATCCAGCAGCTACCATTGTTAAGAGACGGAGTCATTAAAATAGCAATAGAAGAAATGTGTTTTGCTGAAGGTAAACTCTGCTCCAAGAGCTGGTGGAGTATATTTGTATCATTGGAATCAGGGTAGGTCTCAAGACTGACAAACCACTGCTAGAAGGAATTTTAATTTACAAATATGGAATATTTTGTATTTGTTTAAGTGTGACTGTTTTTACATTCAGATTTTATACAAATAGACAATAAATCCTTGGTTTAGACCTTAACATGAAGAAACTTCATAATTCTTTATGTAGAAAATGGGTATTAGATCAAATGTTTTCATGTATCCTTAGTAACTTCAAATGACACATAACACAGTGTTTTATAAACCTTCAAACTGTATATGAAAAGGTAAATCTTATTTCCATCTTAACTTGTATTTATTCTGTGTGCTGGTTACCAGCCAGGCAGATTACTGTGTTGATCTTCTTACTGGACCTTTTACGGGTCTTCCATAGGAATGTTGGTACTGCCTATAATCTTATGACCATCCAGAAATTTCTTTGGATTGTGGATTTTCTTCCAGTTTTATAGAATTCCATAACAATCTAATTTCTCTTCAGTGAATCTGTGTGATAATGTCACCAGGAACAGTAACAAGACAGACCACTGACCATCAAATCTGCTGAGAGCAAAATTATAATTTACCTAATAGCTCTGTTCCTTTAGTTTTATACTATGTATATTCCAAGTTACTCAGACGGCCTTCCTGTCTTTCCCAGTTCCTTCCCTCTATTATGATTTGACATTTCTTTAGGAAATGCATAATCATTGTGAATCATATGTCTCTACCTCCAATCCTTTGTGTCAGGTATTAACATTCTTCAGATTCACTCTTCACTAATACATTCTCTTTCATTTGTTGATTGGACATTCTTAAGTATAGTCCAGTCCAGTAGGTCCCCTTTGGAATTGAGCTTAAATATCTATAATAATGCATAGCTTGATAATACTTCTTTGGATCACTCAATGCTCATTTCTTTCCTGACTTATTTTCCTTCAACTGCTGGGACTTTTGCCAAAGTCTAGTACTCAAATCAGCTACCTTCTATTGCTATGCTTTGCTTTGGTTGGTGTTCGGGCACAAGAAATAGTAACTTTGCATTCATTTTACTTAAATCTCATATTAACTTTGTAATAAGTTGGTATTATCATCTCAGTTCTACTAAAATTAATGAGGCTCAGACTTACATAACTGTCTTAGTTATTATTTGATTGCTGTGAAAATACATCATGACTGAGGCAACTTTTATAATGGAAAACATATAATTATAGGTTTGATTACAGTTTTAGATGGTTAGTCAATGATCTCTATGGAAGGAAGAAGACAGACATGGTACTAGAACAGTAGTTGAGAGTTTTATATCATGATCCACAGGCAAGATGAAGAGGATGAGAAACTGCATCTGGCATGAACTTTTGAAGCATCAAAAACCACCCTTAGTGATGTACTTCCTTCGATAAGATCACATCTACTAACCCTTCTAGTTCTTCTCAAACATTTGTACTCTCTGGGGATCAAGCATTCCAATTAATGAGCCAATTGGAGCTATTCTCATCCAAATCACATTCTGTTCCCTGGCTCCAACATTATAATTCCCTGTGCTTCTTTTCTCCTCAAACTGTATATTTTGTATTTCTCTTTGTCTCACTTTTTTCATTGTAGATCTGTGTAGGAATGAATACCAATAACCACATGACACAGTTAATATTAGGCTGTCTAGGAGTCTATTCTGCCAAGGACCTTAATCCAAAACTCTTCAATTTATCCTCTGGTAAAATGACAACAATTAACTGCTACACAGTTTCATTTTGTTTTGCCAAAATATCACAAAATACTCTCTAATTGTTTGTTTCTCCAAAATCTCTTAAACTGAGTTACCAAAATTCAAATCATCCTTAGCCCCTTAGTACTACAGTCTTCCATGTTCATAATAGGCTGGCCTACTAAGTCCAATTTAGAGTATTCAGTTGTTTTTGTAGTACAAAGTCCCAAAGTTTCCATACTCCTCCAACAAACAGCATGGTCAGGTTTATTTCAGTAATACCCCCTCCTGTTACCAACTTCTTTCTTATTGTTGTGAAGAGACAGTGTGAAAGAGACTTTTATTTTAGAAAAGCATTTAATAAGGGTCTTGCTTATAGTTTCTGAAGATTAGTCCATGAAAATAATGGCAGGAAGCAGGCAGGTATTGTGCTGGGGAAGTAGCTGAAAGTTTTATATACTAATCTGAAGGGAATATGAAGCATGCATGAACCTATTCCTGATAAGGTTTTTGAAGCTTCAAAGCCCACCCCCATTGACAAACTTCCTCCAGCAAGGCTACACTTCCAAATCCTTCTAATCCTTTCAAACAGTTCCACTCTCTGGTAACTAAACATTCAAATATATATGAGCCTCTGAAAGCCATTCTCATTTAAACAACTACACTAACTTTTTAAATAAGTGGAGAATATTTTCAGAATCAGACATTTGATTACTATTCATTTAAATTTTCTTATGACTTAAAACTGATAGGACAAATTCTATAATAATATAGAAATGAACTACCAGCACCATGTGAAAAATTGATGTATCCTTAGGGGAATAAAGGAGACAGAAACTAATACAGATTTAAAAAGCTGTTTTAGTGGGAGGCATGCCATAGTGAAATCGAATTGTCTGTAAACAATAAAAATAAAAGTAACTGTTTAAATGTAATTATTCCATAATATACATAATTTAACTCCAGCGCCACATTTTGGTATGTGTCTATTATTTCAAGTTCATTACACAGACTTTGTTCTTAAAATATGATATGTCTAACAAAATGAATAGCAAATACCCATCTCTAACTCAAATCATCTGACCAGAACCCATAATTTGATTTAATAAGTTTCATAATATCTGTCAGAAATTTCATCTCTCTAACAGTTTCCTATTTCTTATCATGAGCTAATGATGATATGTCCCCTACTCTCTTGGATGAGATCATATTTTGTGGTATATTCATAGTTTTGTTTGTTTTTGTGTCCACTAGACTGTGTCTTTAAATGCATTTCATGAACATTAATACTTTGGGTATATACCATAAAATTTATCATGGACTTTTCTGAGAATCATTTGAATACTTACACCATGTTATATATTGGATTCATGGTCTCTGCAAAGAGAAATGCCTAGATTTCTTTCTGTTCTTGGAATGGTGGAGAACTCAAAAAATTTTTGCTTCTTATATTTTGCATACTCTATCATATTGTACATGCACTGGAACCAATTTCAGATACTACTTAGGCACTGAGTGACAGTTGTTTATTATATTTTTATTTTCTGGGTTCCACTGCTAGTAGCTTTGGCTCAGCATCATCTGTTATAGTTGTCATCATTTGTAAATGCCATTGGGTGTTGTAAAGATCTGTAACTAAAAATAATGATTCAGAGTCTGTAGACAATGAGAGACAAATATTAAATGACCAATAGTGCATGCCTTATGAAGTGGCAATTGGAGAGCCAAGCAAACATGATTATCCCAGTATTGAGCATGGGAATTCTCTGGACCAGTGGTGTGATTATATCTCCTGAACAGGTTCCACAGTAGCACAGGAGCTTGATTGTATAATAGATTTGCAGAAGATTGTTCACAGAGGTTATTGTTTGTTCTGTTCATTCTTTAATCAAATATAATAAAGGATTTTCATTGTAAAGTCTCAAATGAAAGATGCATGAAAATAGATTTCTATTAAGACTTATTATAGACTTACTTTCCTAACTTATTATAGTAAAGCTTTTATGAATCCTCCTTTTCTTAAGATTAAACTAAATCCATGCTAATTTATATTTTTCTATAAACACAGTAATTCTGAGTACTGAGTAACTCATTGAAGTTCATACAGCATCTCCAAGGTTTTATGTTTTTAAACAAAAGACTTGGAGTTTGTGTTTATTATTATTCTCTCCTTAATTCTGAAAGTAGAGAATGAGATACAAAGAATTTAAATAGCTTATGTCAGTTATGTTGATTGTGACAAAAATTACAGGTTTATGTTCTCTCTCTCTCTCTCTCTCACACACACACACACACACTCACACACACACACACACACATATTCCTTCTAGAACAGCACAGTTACTATGCAGATCAAAGCTCTTATGACTCAGCATAGAACTGATAGTACAATTGTCCACTGGAAAAATAATTAATGGAACCAAAGATCATGACATGAAATCACCTGTTCAAATCTTATAAATTTCTAAATTCCCCAGTCCTAGATCTTCTATCAATTGGAAAATCAGTTTGTTGATTCAC